CAAAGATTAATCGTCACACAAATTCACCCATAGGTGTTTTCTCGCAACCAGATGCACGTTTTGCCCATGTGCATATCGACTTGGTAGGTCCTTTACCTCGTTCAAACGGTTTTAATTATCTTTTTACATGCATAGATCGATTTACCAGATTCCCTATAGCCATCCCGATAGCGGACATCACAGCGGAAACAGTAGCCAAAGTTTTCATGCAGAACTGGGTAACCATTTTTGGTACACCCATAACAATAACGACGGATAGAGGAGCGCAATTCGAATCCGAACTATTTAATAACTTGGCTAAACTTCTAGGCTCCAATAGGATACGCTGCACTGCATATCATCCTCAGGCTAATGGGATGGTAGAACGTTTTCACCGTCAGCTAAAAACCGCCCTTATATCTCACTCAAACCCCAATCAGTGGACAGAATTCCTACCATTAGTTATGTTGGGAATACGAACATCTGTCAAAACTGACGCACAGTGTTCAGCTGCGGAACTGGTTTTCGGAACAACTCTGAGACTACCAGGTGAATTTATTAACCCTAATACTAACAGTCAAAAACTTAATTTAGAAAATTATGTAGATCAACTACGGGACCATATGTCCAAACTTAAGCCAATTAATACTCGCGAACAATCGCGTGCCGTATATGTACCTAAAGACCTAAGCAATTGCACGCACGTCTGGATAAGATGTGACAAAATAAAAGCACCACTTAGCCCTCCATTTGAAGGTCCTTTCAAAGTCGTCTCAAGAAAAGCTAAATATTTCGTGATAGAAAAACATGGAAACATCGACACAGTAAGTATTGATAGGCTAAAGCCAAGTTATCTAGATCATGAACCACCATACGTGTTGTTAGATCGTTTAACTGACAAATCCATTACGGAATCGAAATGCAAAAACGATAAATCTTTACAAATGACTAAAACGGTTCGCTGGGCACATCCGATTAGCCAATCAAGGATGTTGACAGTTTCAGCTGCAGGATAAAATCTAACCACGTAGCTAATCAGACCCTTCATCTACTTAAAAATAACTTTTCTCCTCATTCCGCCTCACCTACAACTCCCCAGACCTTTTGCCTTTGATATATAAGTGTTATGTTAAATTTTTTTTTAAATACTGGACACATAAGCTAGGTATTCCGAAACGATGGCTGCGGTTTTTAATCAAACTCATACAACTAACACTGGCAAATACAACGAATTCAAAAAGCAACCCAGAATACCAATCCTTTCTGGAGGCCAATCACTTACGTGGAACCGAACAATTATAAATTATATTTTTGTATTTCCATTTTGTATCTTATTATTTTTATGCAGGCAGTGGAGCAGTTCTTCAGGTGTGATTGGTTTTCACCATTACCTTTGAAGTAGATTCTTCTTTACTTTTTACTTGAGGGCGACTAAAGAGGCAGGTGAGTAAACACCTGATAGCCGGTCTGAGCATGGAAAAATCGTACCTCACCAACATGGTGTTGGGTAGCCCGCTCGCGGCACTTCCTCAGATATTCTTATTCCACATTCTCACACTCTTTCTCTTGAAAGCACGCAGTAAACCGTCAGCGATAGTTGTAGAATAGATCACATGCTACAAAATAAGATGACAAGCTAGTAAATGAGGAGACATCCATGGACTATCGTTGACAGCGTTAGTCGTCACTGATTGTAAGTCAAATAGTGAGCGAGTTGATAATTTTCCCTTGGGATGAGAAATAGAACTAAGGTGTTTTCGATGGATAGGTTAATCGAACCGACGTTCCTACGGAAGTCGATTCTAGGGGGAAGCTAATGTAACAGCTCAGGTTGGTTGGTTAAGAGTTGACCCCAAACAACCAAGCTTATGCCAAAACAGTATTGTTCAAGTATTCATTCACTTCCTTATTTTTCATAAGCGTTATATTCCCTATTATCTTATATTGAATGTTGAGAGCCTTTGTTTGTCTGAACAGATAATCCCACGCTCCACTGCGACTGCGCTAAGATCGAAATAAAGACCTATTCACTACTTCTCTGGTTTCTTCTATCAATAGCACGAGGGTTACATTAAGGCACGAAAAGTTAACGAATCCTGGTATCCAAACAACTACAATTTTCATCACAGAATGTTTTGTTTACCCACGAATTAATCCTGATGTGAGAAAGTGGCGACCTAAGTATAATTTCAGCCTAGAAAGGTCTGAAGTCAACCAAACAGCCAACTAAGCGAATTTCCGATACCTTATAGACATTTAATACATAAACATTTTGACGTTTTCGGTCCCATTTCAACACTTAACTCTTATGCACGCACGTTTGCTGAAGATGAAAGATTGGATGTGGCGTACCCGATAAGGAACATATCGTCAGGTTCAGCAGCCTCAATGTGTCTTGACAGCTGTACATCAAACTACGGAGTACTCCTACCCAGTTAAAGTTAAGGATAGGGATCTAGCATTTGAACTAACCCTCAGAGTTATTACTAATTCCAATCTTCGTTCGTTTGGAGTTAACTGTACTATACAAATATCACCGCCCATTATGTCAACTATTAAATGTTCAGTACAGTATAGTAACCCATTCAGTTACAAAAATTGGTGTTTTGCTAATGCAAGAACATTATTCTATTTCTTCTGAGAATATTGTATTTTCAAAAAGTACTACTTAACTTCGTCATAGCAGCGTGTTTCCAGTTATGAAAGTGTGCCTCAATTCACAATCAAAACACAATCTCAATCTGTTCAAGTGAAACAATCTGAGAGGGAACAAATCGATACGGCAGCATTTATAATCAGGACAAAGTAAAAGAACGTAGAAATAGATAACGAGGATCTTAAAAAGTCAGTAGAAACGACTAAAAAACAAAGGCTACAATAAGAAATAAACTATAACCGTCTTATCTGGAATTAAAGGATCAAAGGAATGCATGTATGGAATCAAGAAGAGTAACTTCATCACAATTGATTGATCACTGGGTGGCGATCAATGTCATGCGTGTCTAGTCCTTATTAGTGCAGATCGAATGCTATCGATCATGTTGCAATGTGGCCACCAGTCTAAGTGACTCGACACTGCGGGCACTATATATTGAGATTAGATGGTAGTTGGAGGTAGTCGACAGGAAACCCTGAATGGCTCAGTGGTAACGTCTGACTGTGAAGCTGGGTGACACGCGATCGAATCCGCCAGGGAGCACCAGTTCCCTCAAGATTACAGGTACACCTTGCTGACGAGTCCCATGTAGCACGAAACCCGGGTCCAGGGTTTCCTGTCGACTACCTCCAACCATCATCTAAGAGTAACTTCATTTCAGAAAGCAAGCCAACGAGTTAGATCTAGGAGTTTGTACATGAAGGGATTCTCTCAAACATTCATTCGAAAAGTCCTAAAAGGCTCTTAAAGTTACATCGATACCAGTCTTGTAAGATACTCAGTGAACTGGAATTATCATATCATACTCGATGTTAGATGCGTGCAGCACAAATGCTACAGTTTGTTAGCTGAAGCGGATTTTAAGTGATATTATGCAATTCTATCGCATCTCCCCTAATCCACTCACAATATGTAAAGACGAGCTGAGTAGAGTTTATGTTAGAGGAAGAGTATCATTCCTGCCGCTCTTCGTTAGACATTATCTAAGAGAGCGATATCTCTCCTAAGGTAAGCGGACATCACTCAGAGGTTTTCAGATGAGGAATGAGTCAAACACTGCAAATGGTTCTCCTGTCCGACTGTTTTACACGGAAACCAGATAGCAGGCATTAGTTTCACAAAGCTACTAGGAAATAAAAGTGGTGTACTTGATATCTTCACCAGAACCAAACTTCTTGAGATGACCAAGAGCTAACGCTAAATAAACCCTCCTTTCTCTTGTACCAAATATTGAGTCTTACTCCAGGTTTCAAACGATTCAAAATATATAGTCTGGAGAAAACGCCATCACGTTACCTAAAGACAAGAAGAGTATCTTACTCTTAAAGTCAGTTCAGAGGAACCAAAAAACGATTTAAACTTAGAAATGAGACCCGCTAAGTTAGATGAACATAAACACGCGACAAGTGCAATACAGAAAGAATAGATGGATACAATCATGATCTAACATATCCTATGTAAACTTAACAGTCCCTGTATGTGCTTCGGTTGCAAATTATAGCTAAGGTTAAAGTTGGAGAATAAGGAACAGCAGGTAGTGGAACACTATACCAGAAACTATAGTAGTGGAACTCTCTACAGAACCTTGTGAAAAGTTCTAACACTCACTTTAGTCTCACAGACAGAGATTACTCGAAGTAATACTCCTCAATGACTCCATGTTAACTAGCATTTTTGTTCTATAAATTCGGGAGTAGTTAATCTCTGTTATGCCTTGTTGAACCCATAACCCGCGTGAAGTCACCAGTCAAAATCCTGGCCCTAAATTGCTACCAACACCCAATGATATAATTTTCTTAGATTTTATTAATTAACTAATGTAGAATAGTTATCATTCAGTGCATACATACTTCACTTTCAACTTGATTGTCATATGCATTTTTAAAAAATACTGGTGCTTATATGCAATTTTCATTTACTGATAATAATTTTATATTCATTTATTTAAACACATAAACATTGGTACAAGGAGGCACCAAACAGATATGAGCCACATATATCATTCATTCGAATTGTGTGAGGGCTGGGATATTACCCAGGTGCTCAAACCGAAGAAGATGGTTTTCTTAGTGGGCAACACCTCAAACCTTTCATCTAAAAGTCTAATCCACAAGACAGTGGAGCAACATAAGGATGCAGTCACATGGTAGCTCGTCATACGTCATTTGTTTCCTTAGGCTCTTGGTGCCCATGTACACTATTGGTTTGGAATTAGGGTTTTTCAACTTTTCTAGGTGGATCCTTCGTATCCAGTTAAAACATCGGACGTTTGCTATTCGTCCTCTCAATTTTGGAAAAAACTGTAATGCCGCGAGAAGTTAGTGAGTAGGACTGATTAGAATAAACAAGTAAAAGACTCTCAAAGTGAGTTTACCTAACATTTTTTCTTAAAATGATGATTTTCATAAACAGAAAGTTATAATACATGAAATTTATATACAATTAATACAGTGAAACATTATGGTACACATTGTAGGAATATACAAATAATAATCATTAATAATAATTAAGAATTTATTGGAATCATACGATATTTATATTGTTTAGTACATTCATATCCTATTGAATATAATTGATTACATTGAAATAAATTCTCAAATACATGATAACCATATTTACCTTGTGTACGATTTATTAAATGTTTTAATAAGTTCAAATCTTCTATAAAATCTATTTCTAATGGTAGAGATAAATTTTTATCATGTTTTTTATATTGTATTAATAGATCATTGATACATTGAATAAATTCATGATAAAATTCAATTGGTATATTATGTAAATGTTTCATAAGTAATGAATTTTCCGCTGTGATTGGTCCATGTCTAATTCGTCTAACTTTTGATAATAAAGTAGCTGTACGTAATTTTGGACCAAGATTAGCAACTAAATCAATGAAAAATTTCAATGTTTCATGTGTAACTTGAATTTCTATTATTTTGTTGATGTTTTTTTTATATATATAAAAAAAAGAACATGTGGATTAATTGTGTAAATAAAATACTAATTTAAGTAATGCATTATTGCTATGCAGTTTAAGGAAACAAAACCAAGTTACTAATATAGGGGTTGTGGAGATTATTAAGTTTTTGATTGAGATCTTGAATCAACATGTGCTCACTAGTGACTAGCTTCGTGAGGGAATTCTCGGAGTTCTAGTGAGAAGCCGTGACCAGTGGAGCTAATCCATGTCGGGTAGAGACAGTTATCTACTTAAGTACAATGGAAGTTGGTCGCGCAATTTCGTGGATTGGTTGATGTTAGAAACTATCACCATTGGATGCCGGCTCAGTGGTCCAGTTGGTTAAGGGTTCGCGCGCGAGACCGAAGACCCTGGGTTCGAATCCCGCTCGCGGGATCGTGGATGCGCACTGCTGAGGAGTCCCACAATAGGACGAAACGGCCGTCCAGTGCTTCCAGGTTTTCAATTGTGATGGTCTAACATCAATTGATTCAAGATCTCAATCAAAAACCAAGTTAGTCTGTATCCGCCGCCTTCCACCAAATCAAACGACTTCTATGAGCTTACAGAAAGTTTTTTTCTTCAGTTAAGAATATCAACTAATATCAAAATCAGTAAGTCTTTTTGTAAGTAGTAAGTTTATCAACAACATTTTGAACTTTTCATTACAATACAACAAAACTGCTATGTTGAAATACGTATTCGGTAAAGTTAAACCTATGGAACTGTTCTATATGAAGTTAACGTTCATATTTTTGTTATACAAACATTAAATACAAAAACTATTAAATTTTTGCATACTGAAACTTGTAAGATTTAGTTTGATGCATAATTGTTGTATTTTTTTTTACGTTTTGATGTTATAGTTGTGTCTTTATGGGCCCCTAGAAATCACGTAAAATCTTAGCACTGTGCCAAACCAATGATCTTCGACCGGTATGAGCAGCCTAGCGTCCTTATTGGTCTTATGTGCGCCTAACCCGTCCACTTGAATCCAGAACACCAATACCAGCTTTCACTATGCAAATCATATGCGCACTGCTGAGGAGTCCCACAATAGGACGAAACGGCCGTCCAGTGCTTCCAGGTTTTCAATTGTGATGGTCTAACATCAATTAGTTAATGATCTCAAATCAAAAATATTTTAAATATACTGGCTTTATATTAATGAACTAATATTATTTAAATATTCTTATGGTATAAATATTCAGCAACTAGATTATGTATATCTATATTCCCCCTGCCATAAGCTTTATTTTGATTTATATTTTATTATTGTACGATTTACTGTTCTTAAACTATGTTCAGTTTGCTGACTACTGCCTCCCACGTTCACAGCCACTTTTTGGCTTTATTGTGTATGAATGTTATTTCCTATTTTATAATGTGTTGCGGTTTATTTGGTTGATATATAAACCCAGTATGTCTGAAATAAATGATTCGATTCGATTCGCATAGTGGAAGCTGGTAATGGTGTTCTGGACTCAAGTGGACGGGCTAGGCGAACATAGGACCAATAAGGACGCTAGGCTGCTCATACCGGTCGAAGATCATTGGTTTGGCACAGTGCTAAGATTTTATAAGTCGTATTTTGAAAGGTGAATAAAACACGTGATAACTAGCCGGACATAAAGTCACAACACTTTGGATCAATGGGCCTCAACACACACAAGGGGAAAACCAAGATCCTGAAATATAATACGAAGAATAGCGACCCAATCACACCTAATCAGGAAACTCTGCAGGATGTTGAAATTTTCACGCACCTGGACAGTATCATCGATGAACAATGAAGACCCGATGCAGACGTAAAGGCGAGGATTGACAATATAAGGGCAGCATTCCTACAGCTGAAAAACATACGGAACTAGAAATAACCATCAACCAATATCAAAGTCCCATTGTTCAATGCGAACATTAGGACGATTCTACTATAGGGAGCTGAAACTTGGAGAACTAATACAACCATCATCAAAGAGGCACAGGCATTTATAAACAATTGTCTTCACAAGATACTCAATGTCGATTGTTGACCGGACACCATCAGCAGTAGCCAACTGTGTGAGAGAACATACCAACTCTCAGCCGAAGAGGAAATTAGGGAAAGATGGTGGAGGTGGATAGAACATGCATTGTGGAAATCACTAAACTGCATCAAGAGATGAGCCCTAACTTGGAATCGTGAAAAGAGGAATGGCAAAGAACACACTGAGTCAAGAATCGGAAGCAGACATCAAAAGGATATATAGTAACTGGAAAGAATTGTCTAAAACAGAGTTTGATGGAGAATGCTGATCAGTGGCCTATGCTCCTTCATGAGGGGTGACAGGCGTAGGTAAGTGAACTGGATACATGTGAAATATGAAGTAAGTCACAGGAATCATATATATTTTAATAGTATAACAGGAATATTGAGGACAAGAGTGAAAGAATGAGCAGAAACGTTTAGGCACTGAACTAGTGGGTACAAACATTTACATAGTACATCCGAATAACTGATTTGAAGCCTAATAATGAAAACAGAATCTAAGATTCTGAAGAAATAGAACATATTTGAGCTAATAGTAATCATAATCAAAAGTGAAAAACCAACTCCTGACATTCCACTGTACCTACCAAATGTTCATAACCAATGAAAGTATACGAAAAAATCTGATTCATTTTAATAACTAAGGAGAATAACATTTTACAAAAACTATAGAATAAATATCTTAGCATTTTGTAAAACCCAAAAACTTCTGCGGATTAAATAAAAATCAACATACCAATTGTAAAAAACGGAGGATCAAAATCCACACAACAAATCGCATTTACATAAGGTGCCATTTGCCTTCTTTCTTCTTCCCACTCATACTTACGATTAGGTAGTGTTTCGGGATTTCGATTTTCATCTGGCATTGGACGTTCCCATGGTGAAAGTAACTGTTCCTCTCCTTCATAATCGTCTACGCCGTGTGTGGGTTTTACCGGACGAAGATCACTGCCAGCTCTACGACCACACAGTGCTAGATATGCGTTTTGTGAATTAGGACGAAGTCCTGCTTGTAATAATCCAGAAGCATTGAATTGAGCTTGTAGTCCAACAAGAACCTGATCTATTTTGCATTTTTGAACATGTCCTGATACAAAAGAAAAACCATTAAATTGTTGAAATCATACACATTCACATTTACGGAACGGGCACTAACAAACTAATATTTAGTTGATTAAATTGTGAATAAGGTGGGCATGTTGCCATTTAGATTAATGACTTGAAACTCCATAGTTCATATTTATAACTGCGATACAGTGCGATTAACTCTAGTGGCTTTAAGTGTTATAACTGAGCAGAAACTAATACAGCGCAACGTAAGGCAGAAGACTAAGACAACAGAAAATTTATGCACTAAAAATATATCTGAATTCACATTTTGCTGATATTAGTCAACATAGAAATTTGAATTAATTGAACTGGGCATTTCTAGACGTTTAGATCAATAACAATGTATGAACACAATTTTCAATACCACAGGATTGAAATGTTAGAACTAACAAGTGTAACTAATTTACTGGGTTATGTGATTACTTCTTCCTCACACAACTTACCAGCTGATTTCAATCCGTAATGAGAACCAATTTTATAACAGAAACTAATGGTCAATAAATGTAGGTTACATAAAATGACTAAATATTACCAATTTTGTAACATAACAGTCACCTTTTTTTCTTTTCATAGGCTAAGAACACGTTTCCCGTTTGAAAACAGAAAAACAATATATACCATGGCATGTACGAATAATAGTTGTGAGGTCCTCAAAAGTATAGCGGTTAATTGATATATTGGGAATGAATTCGATTGATGTGCTGGATACTGGACTATCCGATAATAGACACTCGATACACAGATCGGCATAAATTAACTCTAGACTGGTCACTCGATGAGTTGATCGATAGAAAGATCACAATACTTAATCATGTGATGCACTCAATTATCTGACAACCGATTGAAAACCAGATAAAACCACACGATAGTTTACAGACACAAAGTTACGAGCAGTCAGTAAGCGGAACACAAGTAAAATCAGTCTTCGTTCACTAGGTAGTCATGGCTTACTTTAACATACGCATCATCAACGCATGCGCTATGTATTACGTTTTAAAATGAAAGTGTTCGCATGATATTTAAATTTCGGTTGGATTACTCACAAACTGTTATATATCACCTAGACCGAGTTAATCCTTCTAGACCATGTAGATAAGAAAACCTTCTGGTTAGTCATACAATGTATACAGAGATCTCAGTCAGTCAGCTACAACGTAGGACCAGGCACATATATGCATCGGTTCAAGTTGCCAGAGATCTAGTCTTGCATACATGTATGTACGTGAATAGATTTTCGGCTTTATGTACTTTTCACCCGAAATTCGATCACAATGCTACTAGATCACCTTTTTTACATACTTTTGAGCTATACTGAAAGAGATTTTGCCGAAAAGGCAGATTTCGCAATCATATTAGTCTAGCTTAATAATAAATGGTAACTGTGTCGAACTGACCCATTAACTCAACAATACACAAACACTATGTAATTTAAAGTGAGTGACCACATTAAGTAAATAATTAAGAAGTGAGACCGCAGGAACAAAGTGTTCAGGATTCAGCGAAACATAAAAACGAAAGTATTTATGCTATTGCGACCTGTCTGAAATAGTCTAACAAAGGTCTATTTTTCAATGGCCAACTCCAGGAAAAACAACCACAGATAGATGAGATTCCAAACAAAACTAAGAATTTATTCTTAAATATCATTTAGGAGTTATCACTCACTCCATGAAGCTCTTAGTAATGTTGTACTATTGGCTGTTCCATCAGTTGATGCACGTCCCATCATGCATGTTAAGTGATAGGTTTTAAGCCAAGAAGATTGTTCGAACTTATCAGCATAATTGTAAATACCATCTTCTCCAATACCATAGACTATTAAATAAACAAACATAAATAAACACAAAACTCACCTTGCACACCAGACATAAAATCACTAAGGGGATCAATAGGATATAACATAATATCTCCTGGAAGAAAACGTTTACCCAATACTTGAATTAGATAAATAAATAAATGAAATACATTACTCAAGTACCAAGATCACTATCCACAATATCAGGTTCTGTAATTATTTTTGGTAGAGTACAGTTGACATCACCGGATGTCTGAATGATCGTTCTGATCGACTGTTTTTCAGCTGGAAGTGAATTAAAAGCTATTAGGAAAAAGAACAATTGATTTTATATTGTGACAAACCATCTGCCAATGAGCATTTCACATTTCTGGTTAATTTTTCAACATTCAACCCAGGTGATTTATAAACGCATAATATTCCGTTCAGTAGATTGAACAGTTGAATACGTCCTGGATTGTACATAACCTTATTCATCTAGAACGAGTGGTTTTTAAATTAAAAGTTAAAACGGTCAAGAAATAATCACTTTAAGAGTAAACTATATTTAATAACCTAACACAACGAAAAGAAATGCAAAACAAAAGCTTAAGTAGCAGTGTTATAAGTTGTTTAAGGTATCCATACTTTAGTTGCTCGAGAGATATGATGAAAATATCTGGTACCTTGGATTTTTTTATCAGAACACAATACTAAAATAGAAACACTATTGATCCACAAAACTAAAGAAACTATGACTGGCTCACTTGAGACGACAGAAAGAGAAATACACTCTCACACGTAGAAGTATGGATGATGACCAGAACGAAAATGAAGACTTAGTAACAGTCACCAAGCTCAGAGACCATAACACAATCAAAAGCATCTATCCGAACTACAAACCTTTCTCATCATTACAGTGTCCAATCATGTTAGTTTCATCTTTCTGTAGATTTTCCATTATGTTGATGTCATGGGTAAAGTCTGATCCAATGTTAATACGTACTAAGCATTATGTCATCTATTTCTACATAATACTGTATCTGTGGGTTGTTCAACTTGAGTATAAATAATATCAAGTATATCGAGCTACTAGTAAACAATGAATAGTTGAGTGGTCTTTCAGATCACTTAACCAACTAGGTCTGCAAAATTACCACCCCGGTATCTTATATTTCCCTGACCCACAAATAACTACACAGATGATTGGCGAGCTATACGACCAATGGGGGACCTTCAGAATACACTACAATGCCCTTGACAAACTAGTCATTTACAAGTATAAAATTTTAGCAATAAATTAGTGTGGTGAGTCAGGATCAGAAGTTAGAAGCAGAATTTAGGAATAAGGGGAAACTAGTTTTTCATCACTGATAAAGTGAGCCGACAACTCAGAGAGCTCATAGAATGCCCTTAGTATGTGGTGAAAATAATCTGATGATTAGGACAAGAAGTTGACAAAATGACACCCCGAAGGCCTGATAATGTAGTGGTTCAGATTCAGATTTGTGTAGTAAGGACAGTAGGCCTACGGCCTATGTTATTCCTTTTCTAGTATGCTTCTGTGAGTGTCCAGTCTTCTCTTGAAAGAGTCAATTGAAGGTGCGGACGTCCGCACCACTGCTTCAGGTTTAACCAGAAGGTATATTGTGTACTCCCAAGCTCACAACTTTGGGGATTTCCCCAGGTCTGGGGAAATTTTGTGGTTTTTGTGCCATTTCCCCAAAATGTGCCAAATTTTCCCCCAAAATTGGTACATTGGGATAGAATGAAGAGATGTGGAAATGAGGGAAAAAGTGAGCCGACTACTCATTGAGCGTTAACAACGCACTTACATTTATAAAGGAAAGTAATAGACAGCAATAACACAATTCTTAAATTAAGAAAAACTTGGGGTAGTAACTCCAAGTAGGTAACCAACCCTGTTACAAAAAACGGCAACACTCCAAGGGTATCGTACACTTTGGAGGTTGCTGAGCACTTGAAGGTCAAGCTGTTGTAAAACGATTGGTGCGTCACTTCGACAGCTTGTGAAGTTTTGCAGAAGCGGCCAAATCAATACATTTTTAGATTTGGATTGAGTTCAGCCACAATGTGTCTGATGACGTCCATTCTTAAAGTAACGGAAACGATGCCATCGTGATGATGCATGATATCTTTTTCCTGTCGTTGAGTGGAATTCATTACCTTGTAGTGACTCACATTTATCACGAGAACACGACTGGTTTATTAAAAACAATTACTATTATAACCAACTGTACCAGTGCTTGTTTTAATGTGCTTTTGTTTGACTGTGCTAATGACAGCTATATTTTGCTTCCATTCCTATACACACACCTTTGATTGTAACTTCGCGCGAATTCGGTTACGTTCTGTAACCAAGCTTGTACCATGGCACGATCTCGGTATCCTTTCGGTGCCACGAGATCGCCAGCAAATATATATCTCGATTTGGTCCATTAATTGCCTTCTGATATTTGGCTTCTCGGGGATCTTATGGATCTATTCGGTTACGTTCAACCTACGCCTTCTGATTTACTTGGCACGTGTTTCTTTGTAGCGGTGTTCATAGTTGACCTCAACTCGACACCACGCTACAACCTTGTAGTGACCTACTTTTATCAAAAGAACGCGTTTGATTTAATGGAAACAATTTATCGGCAACTGCCAGGTTTGAGACCATTCAGATAATTTCTTCAGGCCATTTTGGAGTTCTAAGCTATCACCCTCACATTGTATTGTTCTCCATATCTTGACATAGTCGGCATATAGCAAGACCAATGATGATAGGAAACGAGGAAGGTCATTTACATACAATAGGAATAGCACTGGCCTCAAGACTGTACCCTAGGGCACTCCACTAAGCACAGTTTCCCGGCTAGATAACTTTGAACTCACCCGTACTCTTTGTTGACGCCGAACTAAGAAGTCTTTTATCCACATAAATAGATTGCCTACAATCCCAGCATTACTTAACTTATATGACAACCGGTTGTGAGGAACTTTGTCAAAAGCTTTACTGAAATCAATGAAGGCGACGTCTACAGGTAGCTTTTGGTCCTTAAGAGCGCACCAGCTTTCACGAGCCACTAATAAGTTAGTGAGACAAGAATAACTTATTCTGAAGCCGTGCTGCTTCTCCGAGAGGATCCGGTTTCTATCAAGATACTTAAACAGCTCCTTCCGAATAATCTTTTCTAAGATTTTACCAACCACACTAGTTAAGCTAACGGGTCGGTAGTTCTCAGATTTGTGTTTCGTACCTGTTTTGAAGACAGGACTTACTGTGGCGTTTTTCCAGTCTTTGGTTAAACGACCCTGCGTTATGGATAAGTTAAAGCACACACTTAAAGGGTTCGCAACGAAGTTAGATAATTTCTTCAGTAGCCTAGGATGTAATTCATCGGGCCCCGTGGATTTACCTATGTCAAGCTTATTTAGTAGACCAAAGGCATCGAGTTCTTTAATGGTCACGCTATCCAGTGTATGTGTGGGTGAATCTGTATGCACTGACGGGAAGGGTGCTTCTATGGTATATACAATGCTAAAGTAGTTCGAGAACACTTGAGCCTTACCAAAGTCGTCCTCCACTAATGATGAAGCAGTACTGTCTCTCCATAGAGCAGGAATATTTCCTTTTCTCCATGTCCTTTGGTTTATATAAGAATATAAGCGTTTAGGACATTCTATGGATTCCTTAACAAGTTTTCCTTCGTACAATTTTCTAGACTTACGGAGGGTCGAGGCACAAGTATTCCGAGCCTTTCGATACTGAGATTTTGACTCATCAGTTTCCAGTAACCTAAATCTATCCCACATTTTCCTTTTCTTACGGAGAAGGATACGGACCTCCCTACTGAACCATGGTGGTATAGTCCAAGGGATGTGAGGTGTGGTAACTTTTAAGTATGAATTTCGAAATGCGTCCCAGGCCGTTTCAATGGAGGACTCTGGGTCTATTGTCCAATTTATTAACGATGCTGAGTGCATGATGTCTGGTATGTTTGCTTTCCAGATGTTGGTTCTGGACTGGACTGACGCATGCTCGTGACTGGCAGTTATATGGAAGTCGAAAGTTGAAACTGCGTGATCACTTTTACCCAGCGGTGGCATATGATGGAGGTTCGCAACATCATTCTCATAGTGAGTCAGTATAAGATCTAATAAGGATGATTCAGTGTCCAGATCGTACCTTGTCGCTTCTTTCACATGTTGCCCTAGAGCACATGTGATAACCCCATCAACTAGTTCCCGCTCGAAAGAATTCTCCGACGATTTAGTTCGCAGATTTTCTCAGTCTACCATAGGTCCATTGAAGTCCCCTAGGATTAGACATCGACCACTTTGGGACCAGGTATTGAGACTGCTTAAGAGGATCTTTCGTGCCTTGAAGTAACCCTCGTGCTATTGATAGAAGAAACCAGACAAGTAGTGGATAGGTCTTTATTTCGATCTTCGCGCAGTCACAGTGGAGCGTGGGATTATCTGTCCAGACAAACAAAGGCTCTCAACATTCAAGATAATAGGGAATATAACGCTTATAAAGAATAAGGAAGTGAATGAATACTTGAACAATACTGTTTTGGCATAAGCTTGGTTGTTTGGGGTCAACTCTTAACGAACCAACCTGAGCTGTTACAGATCTCATTTGCCTCACAGCTTGGACTGAGATAGACCAAACCAATCAGCAGCTCTTGCCCCTTGCATTTTAAGCGAAGACTAACTAATTCACACGTCCCACTCTCATGGGATACACTATCGATAATGGCAAATGGGATAGCATTCCTAATGAATAGAGCTACTCCCTCTCCTTTGCGCTTTTGTGTTCTGTCGGCCCTTACTAACGTAAAACCCTAGAAATCAAGTTCCATATTATCTATAGCCTGTGTCAGCCAGGTTTCTGTTACTGTGATTATGTCTGGCTTTGTAGACTCAGTCTGTACACCTAGTTTCGATCGCTTATTGAGTAAACTTCGGGCATTGGTGCAACAGATATGAAGCCTATTTAAGTGACTTCGTACTTCACTCAGATTGGTTTAGGCATCATTCCCTGTCGAAGGCTTACAACCCGAAAATTTACAATTTTTGGGTCCTTTTCGTCAGCGTCTACCCTAAGTTCCAGTGCTTTTTCGGTTTCCCATATTTTTACGCGGTCTGCTAACGGCAAGTTCTTACGGATAAAGACTCCTGAACCCTTTAATCTATGTCCATTCTGTAAAATTAACTCCGCCTGGAGTCCCTCCGAGGGCTACTGCCGGTCCCAAGCCCGGATAAAGGAGGAGGGTTGGGCATGAGGTTAGCGTCACCATCCCGTAGAAAACTAACTCGCTAAAAAAACGCTAACCAGAAAAAATTATTCAAACCTTTTAATCTCTGCCCTGGGAGTCAGAAGGTCTTCATTTAGAAGAACTATGACACCTCATGATGAAAGCCGAATTCCTTCGATTCCCCTTCTGACAACCACAGCAACCATTTATTTAGGTACATGGAATGTTCGTACAATGTGGGACACCGGGAGAGCCTTCCAAATTGCTGCAGAAATGAAGAGATACAACTTAGAGGTTCTTAGGATCAGTGAAACACATTGTACGCAAGTTGGACAACAACGACTAACTTCAAGAGAGCTCCTGTTATACTCCGGCCATGAAGAAGAAAATGCACCACATACACAAGGAGTTGCATTGATGCTGTCCAAACAAGCACAAAATGCACTTATAGGATGGGAATCTCATGGACCAAGGATCATCAAAGCCTCCTTCAAAAAAAGAAAGGGGGCATTTCAATGAACATCATCCAATGCTATGCGTCTACCAACGATTACAATGAAGACGCTACAGATCGATTCTACAATAGGCTGCAGTCAATCATCGAGAAGTGCCCAACAAAGGACCTGACCATTCTGATGGAAGATTTCAACGCCAAGGTTGGAACGGACAACACTGGATATGAAAACATCATGGGATGACACGGACTGGGAGAAAGGAACGAAAACGGTGAGAGATTTGCAAATCTATGTGCCTTCAATAAGCTGGTCATAGGCGGCACCATATTCCCACATAAACGCATACACAAAATCACATGAACTTCACCGGATCACACCACGCAAAACCAAATCGACCATATTTGCATCAACAAAACGTTCAGGAGGACTATAGAAGACGTGAGAACCAAGAGAGGAGCTGATATAGCCTCAGATCATCACTTGCTGGTCGCCAAGATGAAATTGAAACTCAAGAAGCACTGGACAACGGGGCGGACAACGTCACAAAAGTTCAATACGGCCTTTCTTCAGGATACTGCCAAACTCAACAAATTCAAAATAGTTCTCAGCAATAGGTTCCAGGCCTTTCATGATCTACTTAATGGAGAAGGAACTGCTATGGAGAGCAACCGGAAGGGGATCAAAGAGGCAATCACTTCAACGTGTCATGAGGTCCTGAGCCATAAGAAGCACCATCAAAAGGAATGGATCACTGTCGATACACTGGATAAGATTCAAGAAAGGAGGAACAAGAAGGTAGCAATCAATACCAAGCGAACATGAGCAGAGAAAGCCAAGGCACAAGCTGAACACATAGAAGTAAACAAGCATGTGAAGAGGAACATCAGAACTGACAAACGGAAATATGTTGAAGATTCAGCAACGAAGGAAACATGAGACAACTGTATGACGTAACAAAGAAACTCTTTGGAAATCGACCAGTGAAAAGCAGGGAAGGCGAGGTAATCACCAACATTGAAGAGCAACGAAACGGGTGGGTAGAACACTTCAATAAACTCTTGAATCGACCAGGCCAACTGAACACACTCAATATCGAAGTGGCACCCACGGACCTCCCAATCAATGTTGGCCCACCAACAATTGAAGAAATCATCATGGCCATCAGACAAATGAAGAGTGGCAAAGCAGCAGGACCAGACAACATTGCAACATACCGAAAGACTGGAAGGAAGGACTTCTGATCAAAATACCGAAGAAAGGTGATCTCAGCAACTGTGATAACTACAGGAGCAT